ACGGACAACGCAGAGACGATCAATGTGATCAAGTGATTGCCAAATTTATTACAAAGCCTTAACTCCTTATATACTATTTCTTACATGCACTTACAGTGATTTGGCATATTATGATTGGATACATGTCCTGAAGTCCCTTAGTGACTAACATATAATTGGTTAAGCACAGGTGTGAGAACTCGACCTCAAAAGCTTGCCAACAGTCCACAGTTCTCATTAACTCAGGGAATTCCAGCTTCTTCTTATCTTGCTTGCTTAAGCTTCTTTGGTCCTCTCATGGCCTTGCTGTATCTTTCAGGATTATTCAGAGTTTATGGACTAATTATGCATTCTCCCGTGAGAACACTGTCTCCACATCTCCCCCTTTTTGTTTTAGATATGGTTTGAGTGACCCTACTTGAGCAGGGGATTTGGCCTAGATCATATCTCCAACATATGCCAACTACAGGCTGCTGGGCCTGCCCCTTTTTTCTGCTGTATGGCTCTCTGGTAACAGGGGAGGCCACCCTTCACATCAAGGTCTGGCATGGCATGTGTCCCCACCGCTCCACGCCTGCTGCGTTGCAGCCAACAGCGGAGCTAAAGGTTCTTCTTGGTGGCAAACACAGAGGCCAACCCAGTCTTGCCCTTGACTGTGGTAGCAGGCATTTTGTCAGCCTCAGTCCTTGCACCTTGTTGTCAATGCAGAGTTTCACCTGCTTCATCCAGTACCAAGTCGCTACTACAGCAAGGCACACACAAATTTACATTAGCAGAGTAGCTATTACAGGGTGCAGCAGCATGTTGAAGATGCTGATGGCAGCGAGGGACTAGCCAAAGAAATTTCTTACCAGTGGAATTCTCCCCCCCTCTTAAATTTGTTCCATCACCTGCTTTATAACACTACCATTGTATTAGAATCTTTCCAGCTTTTGCCTTAGCATTTTCTAGCAGCTACTGCAAATTTCCATACTCTAACATCTCTTTTACAAGTGACAAATCTATACAATACAAGGTGTAGTTCCTCATTAGCAACTGGCTAGTAAATACAGGTGGTTTTACACACAAAATCACAACCTCTAATAATAGCTACTTTACAAGCACACATATTCAGGATGTTACTTTTCAGTTGCCCCCAAGTGATGTTTTGCAATCATTCATTTTTCTCTTCCTCTATCTCATTCTGCTTGGGGTATTCACGGTCAGCTCCTGTAGCTGAGGCATCAGGTTTTTCCATTCGTCTGTCCAGCTCATGGCAAGGCTTGACAAACTTTGCAGGCAGTCGCCATGGACCTGTAGGGAGGAGGACACAAATATAGCCCCTCCTCCAGGTTATCAGTTCTTGAGAAGCAGACAGGTTAAACTGCACATTGTTAACAGTCGAGGAGTTTGCTGCATCATTGCCTCTTTTCTTTCTTTTTTTTTCTGCCACCCTGATGCTGCTTAGGTGACAGCTCATAAAGCTTGTGGTTGCACTACCCTCTTGCTTTTTCAGTTAGCAGTTCTTATTTCAACCGATCTATCTAGTCCTCCAAGTCTTGGATTCACCCCCAGGTTACCTTAAACATACTAAGCAAGGCGCCTACCATGCACCCACTGTGTTGCGGGTGCTCTTTAGGCTTTGTCTGTGGTGTCTCTACAAACTGCCTCAATACCTCAATAGATTGAGAGGTTGGGTTTTGGTTTTTTTTTTTTTTTTTGTTTTTTGTTTGTTTGTTTTTTTTTTTTTTTTTTGTTTTTTTTTTTTTTTTGTTGTTGTTTTTTCCCTTCACTCCTCTGCTCTGGCATCCATCCTGGCCATTCCGCTGGTGGAGCACCGGGAGCTGAATCGGAAGTCAGCTTTTTTTTTTTTCCAAAAGTCGCTCACCCTGCTTTGCACAGCTACAAACGCCGGCCTGCTCGGCAGCAGCTATGAGAGCTGGCCTGCTCAGCAGCAGCTATAAAAGCCTGCCTGCTCGGCAGCAGCTACAGCTGCCTGCCTGCTTTAGCAGCAACCATAAATACCTGCCGGCAACCGCACTTTTGCATTAACCCTTTCTTGCCCGAAATGTTAAACTGCTACCCATTAAAAACTTTTACATGAACCCAACAACAAAAAATACACAGAACACCATCTACCGTCAACACACACACACGTATGGGATCCCACAAGCAGGCTCCACACAACTACAGTATTTGAAGCACAAAATCCAGACAATCATTACTCCCACTACACAGTCCCACGTACAGAACGTGGCACAAGGAACTTGTGGAGACTAACAGAAAAACAGCTCCGAGAAGCATCATTGCAGTGCGAGGTGGCAGGCTCAACCTTAGCGGGCGTCCCTGCAGAGGCTCTGCCTCCCCCACAGCGCATGAGGCTTGGGCTTTTATACTGACCAAAATGCACACTCATTCCGACACAGGTGGCCAGCCTATGTTGGAAGAAGTGGCCAGCAATATCTATAAAGGTCTCCAAAGGTTGATAGAAACCTGGACATACTTATTTTTACCAACTTCTAGTACATGAGTATCACAGAGAGACTGTATCAAATGAGTTGTATATGGGGTCCCAAGTCCACGGTCCATCACAGTATGCCCAATACCCCTGATAAGAGCATACGAGAGACCTTCCCACCACCAGAAAATCACACAATACGGCTGTATCCCACGTTGATCTCGCTTCCCTGGAGGTTTGGGGGAGGGGGGCGTGGGGGTGGGTTTTGGTTTGTTTTTTTTTGTTTGTTTGTTTACTTTAACGTAAAAAAGATTGCTCCCTTCACTTTAAGAAGGACTGAAAACATCCATAAAAGGATGTCCTAAGCTCAAATTTCAATTCATTCAATCACTGACAAGGGGGGGTGTCCTAGGGTGATGCTGACTCTTTCCAGGGTTTCACCGGTCGAGCTGGCACCCACTGCAAACCAGAATCTGTAATTTACACACATATAACCTCAACCAGTTAGTTTTACTTCCACAGGACCTTTCCAAATGCCGGTTTCCAAATCCTTCTACTGGACCAGAATACCTGGAATTTTAGTCATATAACCTGAACCTAATGCCTGACCATATATTATAGCAGGGGAGTCATTAAAGTCTCCTGTCAATCGCAAAAAAAATCATAACATATACAGCTTGAGTATAAGAGGATTTTAACCCATATGTGGTCACCGCTTGTCAGGCCTCCTTAACTATTTTGAGATCAAAAGCTTCCCACTCTTTACCCCCTGCTGTGTAGTAAACACAGGATATGCAGAGGCCCATTGCAGAAAATTCACCTGTAATAATCGCATCTTTGATTAACCTGTGCCAACAGTGTGCAGGATTTGTGCCCCGCCGACACCTCTCCCACCCCCTCCCCCTGTTTGCCTTCTTTAAGGACGGGGTTTTGCGGAGGATAAGGTGGAGGCACCGATGGAGATGTCTCAATCCCAGTCTCGAGGGCTTCAAGCTTTTTCATCAATTGTTGCAGCTGAGCGTCTCCAAGGCCAGTGAGTAGTCACTGATGAGCTGAGCAGACCAACCCGGGAGACGAAGAGTCAGAGTCTGGAAGCAGAGGATACAAATATGGCTCGGATTCAGGGGACTCAGAGTCTGATCCTGGGTCGAACTCAGGGTCTCTGTTGTTCGCAGCTATGTCTTTCTTGTTGGGTGTCTCTCGTACGGTATGTGGCCATCTGCGGACCTGGCTCTTGCTTTCATCGACTTGGGGCGTTGATTTTTTCAGCGCCGCTCCAGGTAACACAGGAGGTGCAAAAGTCATAGCCACAGCACTATGATGGGGGTTAGGGGAGACAGCCCCTTCTGGAGCTGTGGCGGCAAATACAGAAGCTACCACAGCCCTTTCCAGTTTCATCTCTTTCAAAGTCTCTAACACCAATCTCCAAAGTGTAGAGTGTTTCTGCACATCTTTGGTCCCTTTACTAACCTCGCGATCACGGGACCACTTTAACAGCCTCTGTAAGGCGGCACTATCATATTGCAGTCCTCTCTTAGAGAGAGTGTGTTGGAGGAGCTTCACCACTGCCTGTTCCTCTTTGGATAGCAAGTGCCCCATCTCCTCCCTGGCCGCTCACCTGATCAGGGCGAGATTCCCGAAGTTTTGCAGACGTCTGACTTCCCAGTGCCGGGGCAGCGCTGACTTTTGGCCGGCTCTCCGCCCCCTCCTTTTCGTCGGACCTTCAAACTCGTCTTCGTCGAGTTACCGATCGGAGGGTCCCTGTTCGGGTGCCACTTGTTGACGCGGGAGTCACGGACAACGCAGAGACGATCAATGTGATCAAGCGATTGCCAAATTTATTACAAAGCCTTAACTCCTTATATACTATTTCTTACATGCACTTACAGTGATTTGGCATATTATGATTGGATACATGTCCTGAAGTCCCTTAGTGACTAACATATAATTGGTTAAGCACAGGTGTGAGAACTCGACCTCAAAAGCTTGCCAACAGTCCACAGTTCTCATTAACTCAGGGAATTCCAGCTTCTTCTTATCTTGCTTGCTTAAGCTTCTTTGGTCCTCTCATGGCCTTGCTGTATCTTTCAGGATTATTCACAGTTTATGTACTAATTATGCATTCTCCCATGAGAACACTGTCTCCACAATCATGTAGTTACAATCCTCATCTTAAAGCCTATTACAAAGAAGATTATCAGCATTCTCTACAAACAAGTAGGATATACAGAACAAACCTGTGGATTAAATACCATCTCTTTTGCAAATGGCCTTACAGAATTAAATAAAATTAATAAATAATTTAAACAAGAATAAATGGTCTGTGTGGAGGTGAGGACAAGGAGAAAAAGTGGCGCAGGCCACAGCAGAATAAGCTCTGTTATAAAAACCCCAACAAATACACATGAAAGGAGCCAAAGTAGAGGAAAAGGAGATGGTGAACTGCATAGAGCAGTGCTGTTGTACTTACAAAAATAAGTAAATGGAAAAGAAAAAGGATCTTCTGTTCTAATGCAAGAAATTACCACGTAAAAATGATGTCATGCCTCTTGTTTTTTTTCTATCTCACTCTCTGAAAATACAGCATGGGAGTACAGAAGAATGAGATTACTACGTCGCATTCATTATCATGCCTAATGGAAGTTACAACACTGTTATCACACGTAGCTATGACATCCTACTACGGCTTTCTTCAAGGACTTTCAACAGCAAAACTGCAGAGCTTCCTTCAGTTAAAGACATTTGGTGTCTGCTGTCTTTGGTAGAGGTGAAATTCGACCTTGTGCATATTTCATGTGCCTTGTAATAATACCCACTCATTCACTGCAGAAGAGGCATTCTATTGCCCTCCTATGACACTTCTTTGGGACTGCAGCTGGAAGATGTATCACTCAGGCTTCCCTTTGTTTCCTCACTAGAACTAGATGTTTGTGACAGATGCTGGATTGATAGCCCCACAGAAACAGATACTCCAGGCCACCAGCTTGCACAAGTGGCGACAGTTCAAGCGTCTGGCTTCTGTATGGCACCTCTCACTTTGCTGCTAGACGATGCAAGTTAATCAGCAGCTGTCAGATAGAACTGGTTAAGCACTTCTGGGCTGGTGTGGTAACTCACCTGGTTCATGTATGGGAGCACAGCCAAAGCTTATACAAGATTTCAGTCTTCTTTTTCTTTTTTTCAGGGAAGGAGAGACAGTTTCATTCCTTATTACTGTAAGTCTGCACCTCTGCCTGCCCTTTAGTCTGAAGACTGTTCATCCTGAAAAAGAGAGACCATGATAACCCGCAAATGGGACCATGATAACCCCCTGGAGACAGCAGAGCTACCTAGCTCATTGTGATAATACTGACTGCTGTCACCAGTACACAGACTTGGTGATGCTAAGACTGGTCTGGCATCTGTGTGCTATTTTGCAGTTATTCCTGAATATCTGGATGTCAAAGGCAAAATGGTAATAGTGAAGTCCATGCTCTGTAAAGCACTGTACCAGCCTATAAATGTATACAGGTGCCTTTGCACTCTGCTTCCCGTGGAATGGTAAGAACTTGACCCTTGTGTATAGAATTTTTGAAAAATAAATATATAGGCTGAGAGAGTTGGGGGTTTTCAGCCTGGAGAAGCGAAGGCTCTGAGGAGACTTTATAGCAGCACTCTGGTACGTAAAGGGGCTGACAAGAAAGCTGGAGAGGGACTTTTAACAAAGGAATATAGTGACAGGACAAGGGGGAATGGGTTCAAGATGAAAGAGACAGATTTAGATTAGACATTAGGAAGATATTCTTTTTGGTGAGGCCCTGGCACAGGTTGCCCAGAAAAGCTGTGGCTGCCCCATCCCTGGCAGTGTTCAAGGCCAGGTTGGACATGGCTTTGGGCAACCTGGTCTAGTGGAAGGTGTCCCTGCCCATGGCAGGGGGCTGGAACTGGATGAGCTTTAAGGTCCAACGCAAACCACTCTATGATTCTATCATAGATGTATATGTACATACAGCAAATGTATGCATACACACAAAGATACATTATATATATGTGTGCGTGTATATACATGGCCTTAGGAAGTAATGTGGCAAAATCCTTTTTCCTGCTAGTAAAGCAAACAGCATAATAATAATCCATTACATAAAATGAGCAAGATTCATCCTGGGAATCTTTAATGTAACTTCTTTCCAGCCTCTGTGTGAATGTTGTTTCAGAACATCATGGCTATGCTCTGCAGTAATACTTCCTTTCTAAATCCCAGTCTAAGCACAAGTACCACCATATTGCATCCACCAATTCTGAGCCATGCTGCTTGTAAACTGTAGTCATTTCCTCTCCCTCAGATCTGCATTTACAGAGAGCATATACCCCCCTTCTCAGTCTTTTTTTTTGTGAGACTAAACAAGCTCTTTTAGACTGCTCACACTCCAGTGTGGTTCAAATGGACCTTTTCCCTACTTATTCCAAGTTGAATTTACTTTTCTTGAATGGCTTTGCATTCTTTTTTCAAGAGTAGGTCTTACTAGTTAAATAATGGCATCAGCATAAAGGAAACACCTCTCCTGATAAACTGAACCATATTTGTCACTTTTATGGCTGCATCATGTTAGTGAGTATACTCTGATTTTTCTCCTCAACACCTTTCTTTTAGAACAACTCCTCACCATTGGCTTAAATGCAGGACCAGTGCAGGACCTTGCAGTTTGAACGGTTATCTTTCACCCCAAGAGGCTCAAAAATAGCAAGAGCATAACTGGATTAGACCAGTATTTTATTACTTTCCACTTTAAGACTTCCCCTTTAAGCAACTGTGTCTAGGTCTTGTCTCACTCTTTTGGGTATATGAAGCAATCTCCAGAAACGCAAACTAAATCTAATTCTAGATTGTCCAAAATGCACTGTTGATTCTGTTTGCAAGGGAAACATTTTACTAGTAGAATGTAAAGGGGAAAATAATACAGACATACTGTAAGAGGAGTATGTATCCATGTAATCCATCCATCACTTTATCAAAATTTAGTCATCAAAGTCTATGCTAGTTGTATGGATTCCCTCTACAGCCACCAGAAAGATGCTGGCACCTCTCCAGGGTTTTTATCACTCATATCTTAGGCACTTATTTTAGGATCCAATAAACTGTTTCCAATCAGTGCCTGCTTCTTTCTTTCCAAAGATTATCAAATGAATCAGCATCAGCAGAGTAACTGAAACATGCAGCTAAAATTGGGTGAAATGAGCTTCACTGTTTATCCTAAAATTCAAAAGAATGTTCCAGTTAGTGACTGAAATGTCTGGGTACATGAACAGTACCATGCTGCACTTTTCTAGAATTACATTAGCTCTTTTCTCAATATTATAACAAGGATGAATTTCATGCATGGGTATTCCTGCATTCCTTTTGGCCACTAGCTCTAGAGTAACAAAATGTTCCAGTATAACACTGGAGTAGAGCTGATCGGCAAGAATTAAAAACACTGAGGCTTTGGCACTTGGATTTTTCATGCACTGAGAAGAAAATGGATCAGTCACCTGGGGTGTCAGAGAAATGTTTAAGAGGACTAAACTCACTGAATCTGGTCATTACTGACATGCCATGAGACAAATATAAACATTGAAAGAAAAACACAGGATATTTAAACCACTTTTTGTTTCCAGAAGCAAGCGTTTTCTGGAACATTCATTGCAAGAAATAGTGTATTTTCAAACTGAAACAAGAATAAGCTTTGGAATTTTGATTTCCCGTGAGAGATTTGTGATTAATTGGTGTAGAAAATGGCTGAGATTGGAAATTGCCTCTGACCAATCTGATGTTACCATCTGTCGTTATATCAGACTGATCCTGTTTTCCAAGTGCTCTCTGGGAAAAAAAATATGGTCTTTTAACAGACCAATGTGTCTAATTGGTTTTGCTCTTGTTTGTGACAAAAGGTCATGAAGAGAGACTGGGAGTTCCTGAGTACAGCAGGAACTCTGGAACAATTATAAACTGGAATTTCTAAAAAGGAAAGAATTTAATGTGAAAGGCCAAGTCGTAAGGATTAATTATATTCAAGAAGGGATACTGACATTTCAAGTAAACTGGGATAGAAATAACACAGATGGAGAAGTGAAAAAGAATAGAAAACATCGTGTTTGCACTGTTGTCTGAGTGGGTGTTTTGGGGAAGGTGCCTACTTTTGGTAGGAAAAGTATGAATTATCCATGCTCCTGTCTATGGTTAATTAACTCACACAGCAGCTGATTAGATAGCTAAATGTTGCTTCCTTAGAAAAACACTCAGGTTTGTGAGTGTATTTGGTGATATCCGTTTGGCAACACAGATACCATTGCTGGAGCACACTTCCCTTTTCTGTCACACATCCCTCTGTGCACTTCCAGGTGGGCAAATGCAAGTCCAAACTATTCTGGGTAATTAATGTGTAATGCTTTCCTCTGACTGCACACTAAAAGCCTAAAATTCTTTACACCTTAATCCGGAAAAGTAGAAATAAACTCAGCTCACTGCCCCTAAAACGGGAACTGAAAAACATTTTACTTGTTGAGACATAAATCCAACCTTCTGTTTGTGTCTCTAACTTCATTATCTCTGCAAGCAGAATAAAAACTGCTTTTCCTCCTTCAGGCTGAAATGTTGATAACTGTAAAAAGGGAAATAGAGTAAAAATTTCCACTTGTAGTCAGTGAATGAAACAGGAAACTCATCTTCTGCTGTTTTTTTGTGGGAAAATGCTCTGGTAAAATGAATAATCCCCAATACTTTAACTTCTTTAAAGTTAAAGGAGGGAAAATATAAAGCTACCAGGTGCTTCTGAAGTGCTCAGCCTGTTGTGAGGCTGAACTTGCTGTCTGTCTAGAAAACCTAATGTGCATTGCTGGCAGCAGGCATCAATGCCCTGAGGGAGAGGATATACAAGCCTGCAGGAATGTAGATAAATATCTAAGTTCCTACTCTGCATGACAACAACAAAAAAATAATAAGTGAAAGCCTCAAAGCTCTGCCAAGGGGCCCTTCTTCACAGTCACAAGTACCTTAGTAAGACGAGAGCTAACACTTCTACACTGAAAATATTTCATATTTATTAGATCCAATCAAAATTCTGACTTTTGAAACAACCAAAATTGACCAAGTTTGGTTTGTCTGCGGGTGGGAAAGAGAAATGTGTGTCCTTTCTTGATCTGGGCAATATTTTCTCTGCAGTAATGCCTAATGGTTTTGTTAGTTGTAATTTACTTGATAGCTTTCAGAATTGAAAATGCAGGAAACCAACTTTCTTGTAAAGTTTAGTAGCTTGCTGGAAATAGTTATACAGGAGCATCTACAGAGTATGGCAACACATCCTATTGTTCAGTTAGTATAACTGAAGGTTAGGGTGTGTAATTGTCAGGAGAAATAATATTTTATTATAGAATTTTCTAAACGGTGGGTATTTGGTCAACTCTGGGGATTCCACAGATGTACAGACTGCCCCCTGGGAACGCTATTTATAAACTCAAAAGCGGCTGAGCAGCACTCACAAAAAGGACACCAGTTTCAAGAAAATTAATGACAATCTCACATTGTTTGGGAATGGAGAGACAAGAGGCATTGTGTTAAGCTTAAAGCATGAAGCGATAGACAAGTATGTTTGCAGTCCTTTGTCTTGACCTCTCTAAGGTTGCGATATTGATGAAAATGCACTACTGTGTGTCAGCTTAGAAAAATTACTACAGGAAAATGTAAACATACAGGTAACTCCATATCCTTTCTCCAAAAGGCTTTAAGAGTCCCCTGTCACAGATCACTACAGAGAATATTGTGTCTTCATGTTGTGGGGCTTGCAGGGTGTGGCTTTGCTGTACTTTCATTAAAAAAAACCCAACACCACAATAAACCCACAAAAAGCCCCCAAGGCAATCATACTCAAAATAGTTCCCTGAGTGCAAGTAACACGTGCATAGTTTCTGCACCTGGGCAGTCTTTTTGGTGAAATTCTTAGTTACAGTTGAACACAGTTTAACTACAAGTCCAGACTGCTCTGAAGACTTGACAATTCCCTGATTTAAAAGTTTTCTGCTGGATCTGGAAGGTGAGCTGACTGAGCAAAACCATTGGGTGAGCACTAGAACTAGCGAGAGCCAGAAAAAGAAGTCCAGTGTCAAAGTGTGACACTTCCCAATTGCCATGACAGTGGCTCAGCTGCTTTTGGCACCACACTTACAGCACAAATGGGCTGTACAGGTATTGGTGATTGCCACTGCATATAAGAGCACTTAACAGTTGACACCATGGACTTACCTGTGGCACAGAAATGCACCCTAACATATAATGCATGTGCATTACAATGATTGAAGTATTCATGATGATGTATCAAATGCTTTAATAAAACTTACTACCTTTTGAGCAAACTTTGTGTCTTTGGATGATTACATTTTGGACTACATTGCTGTTACTGATGGAGTGAGGGGAAAATTACATTGCTAATACTGTACATTTTCTGTGAAGTCATCTGTGCAAAGAAAAGGCTTCTTATCCTCCTCCCGGAGCATGTATGAGAACTGTTACAACAACAAGCCATTTTTCCGTTACTCTTATTTTGGTAAGACAAAATGGCTGAAGGCCACAGCTGTTGATTTATTCAGATGCTGAAGGAAACCATTAGCCCATTGGACCCTGAAGATGAGATTTCTTTGTGCTAGATGTTAATATAAGGAAATCCCAAACAGTGGCTGCCAAAGGGACTTAATACAAATGCAAAATACCAAACGTACCTAAAAGGGAAGCAGGAAAGTGACTGCTTATTACAATAAAAAAAACAAAAACAATTGTGTTAGTGAAAAGTACAATTCGCTTTTTCTTCTGTTTTTTCTTAAGTAGTGTGATGTACTACAACCAAGCTGTGGAGATGAAAACTCCTCTGTATTTAAATCAAATAGAGTATCTTTAAAACTACATGTACGCTTACACAGATGGTTATACCGTTAATGACATGAAATGGTTTTTACCAGCACAATGCGGATGGAGTTTCTCCACAAACATTTTGATACAGTTTTTACTTACACAACTGCTCTTCCTATATTTTGTCTCTAACTCATTCTGTGGAATAAGCAGATTTACTCTCCACTATGCAAGTGAAGGGAAAAACACTGTGTGTGCTGAACAAGTATTTTCCCACACTTTGTGTTTCTTTTAAAAGGAAATGTATCTGCTGCTTCCTCAAACCAGCAGAGGGAGTTTTCTCATCTTTTAACTTCAGAAACTTAATATTTTAACTTCCGAAGCACAAACCCGTCTTGTCTTTTTTTTAGCAATGTTATGTTACCTGGTAGGAACTGCTACTGAAAACAAAAGGTGAAATTTTACCACCAAGACTGTTTAACTCCTTACTGCTGGAGGCTGTATGTTTCCAGACAATTTTTACAGGTATTATTGTGCAAGAAGTTATTGTGAAAAATGCAATAGAGTATTAAAAGCATGAAAAGTTGACTCATCTGGAGTGCTCAGGAGCAAACTATTTGGCTAAAGGGGAATGTACAATTATTGCACTACATGTACCACTCAAGTGTGCATGAAACCGTAACTTGGTAAAAAAAAAAAAAAAAAAAGAGTCAGTTCCTTTATTATTTGTGCTCTATGGAGAAGTTTTGAAAGTTCCGGGTTTAGGTTTCTTTATTTGGAAATAACAGAGTAATTTTAAGACTACCACAGTTGCAAAAAAAGTTCAAGTGAAATGCTCACTGTAGGGCTACTAGGAAGAGAGTTCATAATTATTCCTTTTTTCTTTGTGTGTGTGTGAGAAAAAATAAAAAGCATCTCCAGAAGTGACAAACTTATCATATGCTATAAACCTATACAGAAGGCTCTCTACAACGATCTCTCTTCTAAATAAAATGATAGCAGTTACTGATGTTAACAGTGAGTATTTTCTGTGAACATGTCACGACTCTTCTCTCAAAATCAATACAGAAATTCAGATATTCCATTAAGCTCAATCATAATGCAATTAAAATGATAATATTTCAGTTTTAAAAAACTTTGTTGAAAAATTCCACCCCAAAGGAAAATTATCAGTTATTCTGCAGAACCTAACTGGATTTGAAGACACCCTGAAACAAACATAGAATTATGGAATGTTGGAGTTGGAAAGGACCTTATAGATTATTCAGTTTTAATCCTCCTGCCATGGGCAGGGACACCTTCCAATAGACCAGGTTGCTCAAAGCCCCATCCAGCCTGCCAGGGATGGGGCAGCCACAGCTTCTCTGGGCAACCTGCGCAGTGCCTCACCACCCACACAGGGAAGAATCTCTTCCTTATAATTCTGGAGAGTCAGAGTATTGATGCTCTACACTCTGCTTGAACTAAAAGATATGACTGAATAAAAAGCAAGATCTGGAGTTCCCTGTATCCCTATCAGTATAACAGCTAGGTTATGTTTTCAAAGGGCCACATGAACACCAATTACTGCATTACATCCAAGTGAAAATCGCTAAATAAGTGTTTTCAGCTTTTACTAAAGTGGAAAGCAAAGAAGGAACTCATTGTAGGTGATTCAGAAGGTAATGACTGGTAAATAAGCATTTAGCACATGACATCAGACATAGAACATATGGAAAAGAAACAAAGTAGTCGCATGGCTAAACAGTTTAGCTATAAGTTAATATTTAATAGCCTAGCCCAGACATATTTTCTTTATATGTATTATAATGGTCAACTAGTGTAAGAATGCTGGAACAGGTCCCTGTGCTCCTCTGAGATACACAGCCGTTCAGCGCTACATAACTCTTGGACCAAAGCCCTAAAGAAGACAGAGGCAAAACAGAGAATTGTACAGGGCTGCAGACAGCAGCATTGTAGCCAGTCATCCAGACAGAAAAGCACTTT